ATCTCAATTGACAACCCCCGTTGAACACATGTTCGTTCAATTTCAATGCCAAATAAATCTATTTCTTTTTGAATATCTTCATAACCTGGACCCGCTATGAATTTTTCTCCCATAATAATAGTTTCTGGACAATAGAAAATGTCAAATAAATAATCCAAATCTCTTTTTTCTATCATTTCTTTTCAAGTGCTTCACTTATTAAATAATGTTCACAATCAATTTGCGTTTTTGTGTTAACATTAATCGTTTGATCACAATTAAAATAGCGCAATAGAAATCTAAGCTTCATCAGAACTTGAAGTACAACTGACGGATTATTTAAACACTTTGAAGTTTTTGGGAAAAAACACTCATTAAGTTCTGTTTTATTTTCAATTGATTCTCTGACTGATTTAATAATAACATCAATGTAAACTCCAAAACATTTTGTTGTTTCAATAAGGTCAGGAAGTATACAAAGACGTGTTTGTGATTCAATACACAGCTCGTTTATAAGTGTATAAATATCATTGAACAAACACACACTAAAATGAACATAAGAGTTGTTCAAAGAAAATATTTCAATATAATCTTGCATTTCAACGTCGAATTCTTGAATTTGTTTTTAGACCATTTCGCCAAATACATCTGCTTGTTGTTCTTCGTCTTGTAAAAATTGCTCAATCAAAGATTCACTTTTCGGGATTGCCGACGAAGACTTTGCCATATAGTTCCACCTTGTTGCAGAGTAAGTGGATAATTTACATTTTTTGTGTTGATGGAATTACAAAATGTGTAGTATTCTTTTAGCTTCGTTGAGTTACACAACCATTTAATAAATGTTGTCACTATATCGAATGGTGCTTCCATACCTACATCTTGGGCAAACAAGTTACATCTGTGAGCGGGGCAGTGTACTCCATAAAACTTTCTTTCAATTATATTTCCTTCTAGATTTTTTATCGGAACCAGTTTCATTTTCATGTGTTTAATCATGCCGTTATCACACCCCATATTTGTTGATGCACCATCTTGTGTGCTTCCAATACATTTGCGCAATGGGAACAACACTTCTTTGTTTGTATCAAAAGCAAGTGCGTTAAAAATCCATTCGCACATTGATTCACTATCACTTTTTCCATAATACTCTGACAATAAAAGGGGACACTCATAAAAATCAAATTTCATACACACACGTATAAAAATTGCAATGAATGTTATCCCATCCTTTTTAAATGTATCAGTTGCAATTGCAAAACAAACACAATTTCTAACATCTTCGATAAGTTGTTTCGAGCTTATAATACTTTCACTTTTAAGTCGACGACGTGCACTTCTAAAACTAACTGCAAGTTTTTTATATATATCAACTGCTTCTGGAGTCAATTGGGATGAAGAAATCACCAACGATTGTTTCAATATTGAACAACAGGTTTCAGAAAAGTTGTATTTGGTTGTCAAATGATTTATGACGTTTTGAACAACTTTCCGTTTATGAGTTAGAACTTTTTTCGTTGTTGTTGTGTTGTAATTATTTCGTCCTTTGTTGTATCAGAAAACAACAAGTCACGGGCTCCTTTAAATTTAATCAAATCGATTCCAATTGGAGCTTTGCAAAATTGAATTAAGTGTCTTGATATTTATTCTTCATCGTATTCACTAAAGGGAATTTCAGTGTATAATGCAAAAACACCGTCGTTAAAAATGAACAGTTCTTCAACAAAGTTTTCAAGTTGTGCTACTTCACATGTTGAATTTTGAGACTCAATTTCAATGTGGTGTTCAGTTGATGATGAATCATTTAATGGATTTGGTGTTAGTGGAGAAATTGCATTTGATAAATGATCTTGATTTTGATTATAAATTCCTCTTGTTGATGTAATTTGATTACACATTTCTTCATGTTGCAATTTACTTTGTAATATGTCATTTATATTTTCAGGTGTATTCTGAGGCAGACCAAATGCTGATGGAATGATTGAGAACATAGAAGAACTTTATTTGAACGCAGAAGGCGTGTTAGAATTAATTGGTACAATATTACTTGCCGAAGATGGAATGTTGAATAAGGAAACTGTTGGATTGTTTGGCAGTAAAGTTTCTATTCGTGGAAAAGTAAGTGGACCCAATGTTGTGTTTGTTATTTGTAACATTGGAATATTTTCAATATGTGTTGATGCGTTTAAAGTCAATGTGTTTAAATTGGTCAAACAATCAGTGTTCATTGGATAATTGTTCATTGACAAATTTGAAAGATCGAGTCGTTCTCTGTGAATTGGATTGTTTTTCTGGAGCAGAGTTTGTGTTATATCGTCTCGTTTGATAATTTTGTTGTTGATTGTAAGTGTTGAATGTTTATTAGAGGTGTCTATAAATGCTAAAGCCTCTTCTTTATTGTACACAATGACAGTAGACTCGTGGCATTTATGATTGTTTTTCACTCCAAGTGTTTGCCACTTTTCGCATATAACACAATAATAATAATTTTCGTTTCCTTTTTCTGCTTTAATAAATCCTTTGTCCATATTGTTCCAAAACCATTTGTTGTCACTATAACGTATAGTCATTTTTTTGTTTTATTTTTTGTTGTTTTATTATTCAATTTATATTTATTTTAAAATTATTGTTGTTATTGTTGTTATTGTTTTTTTCATTAATATATGATCATTTCATAATAGATAATTATTTTAAATATTATTGTTATTGTTGTTATTTAATAATTTAATAATTTAATAATTTAATCAATAGTAATAATGATATTTAAATAAAACAAACAAAATTCATCATGTTTATTATAGATGTTTTTATCAAATTTAATTTAAATTGGTATTTTTTATAATAATAATAATTATAAAATAATAATTATTAATATTATTTATTATTTTTTAACATTTTTAATATTTATGATATTGAATAAATTTATTATTTTAAAAATGAAAATAAATTTAAACAAAAAAATAAAATTCATTTTATTTAAAACAGACGTTTTTAATTTATCTCATATGAGTTTTGTTTTTTCATGTTAATATATAGTAATTTTTAATTGTAAATATATAGTAAAATATTAATTTATAAAAATAATGTTAAAAATAATACAATTGTTTTAATAAAAACCCAAAATAGTTTTTAAAGATTTTTCTGAATTACATTTTGAGTAACTAACAAAACAAAAAACAAAAAATTGGTATTTTTTTCGCTTCATTTGCCGCAAGTTATAAACTTACTATGTAAAAAATAAAATGAAATTCTATTTGCCGGACTATGCAGGTGTGACTTTTTGGCCTTACTTTAACCAAAAAATAAAACTGAACCTTTATTCATCCAACAGCTTTTCAAAGAAGAAAAAAATGAGTGCGGGGTTTCTCCATGTATTGGGTTTTTCGCCTCACTTAAGTTCAAATTATAGTTCGAAAAATATTATACACTAAAAATTATCTTGTTTATAGAAAGTGACGTTGTTTTATGTAAGATTCAATTAGTACTTTTAATTAATTTAAACCATTTTATTGTTTAGCAATCTCCAAATAAAAAGGCAAAAATTTTCTTTGCATCTAATTTGTTAAAATAGTTTTCATTAATTAAAAATAACTATAAATGTTTTGCATTATTAAAACAATTGAACAAAACGGGGTAACCTTACTGTATTTTTTTTTAAAAATTTAACAAAAACGTCTATTTAAAAACACAAAACACATTTTTTTACAAAATCAATTAAATAAACAATACATTATAAATTATCTAATATTTTTAACTATAACTGTCAATATTATAATAAGTAACATTTGTTTGCCTATTTCTTATCGATCCACTGTCGTGGAATCACAGAAAGTCGTTTTTTAAAATATTTTTTAAAATTATCCCTTTTAAAACAAAAATTATTTGAATATTTTTGTTATTTGATGTGTTAGAATAACATTATTTTACCATTATTGTCATTTAAAAAATAATTTATTATTATTATTATATTATTATTTTAGACTCTATATTATTAATGGTAAAATAATATTATAAATAAAGTATGTAATCAATTTTAACATCCAAATAATTTAAATTGTTATTTATATAACAACTACATCAAGTATATCACATATAATCATTTTATTGATCATTCACTAAACCAGTGTGTTTCTGTTCATATAAATTTAATGCTTATTTGTTTTGTTTTAATTCAAACTGTGTATTTCAGTCAAAACGTGCTTTATTACAAACACTATGTATCTTCCATAATAATAACATTATAAATAGGGGGTGATTATACCATTTTTGTTATAATTATACATAAAATACAATATAGTTTTAATTACACAACATTGTTATATCAATGTGATCACTTATCACTTCGATGACATCACGTTGTAGAAAAGATATGATTGTTGATGTGTTATTATGTCAAAATTATGTCTGTTGATTGTTACTATTATATATAACAATTATAATTATAAAACTATTATAAATAACATGATAAATTATTAATAATATATTATTTTATTTTATTAAAAATTATAGTTTAAAGTGTCAATTTTGGTATA